CTCCCTAATGACGAATTACATTCGACTCCTACTGTACATCAGAGCGATTACCTTGTTAACCCTTTTCTTTAAGTTATAATGAAAAAAAAGTAAAAAAAATGATGTGAAGATATCTTATTACTTGTTTGACATTGTTAATCATTGTAAATATTAACATAAACTATAAATTTCTAAATTGAACACAACTTATTTAAAATTGAATATTATATTATATTATAATACAAGGTGATTCATTCAATGTAAAACATTAACTATTTCAATTTTTAAAAACTACCTACTAACGGTTTAAAAAAAAAAAATAATAACTTAGTTGTTACAAAACAACGTTTATCAAAAAAATTTAATATTTAATTATTTTTATCGTTATAATTTTTCACTTTTTTGAATGACAGATGTATATATGAATATACATTTCTAATTTCATGCTCAGAAGCAGAAGTCTATTGAGTATTTCTATATATAAATATACAATTTCGTACGAAACTACGTTTTAAACTCCCTTCTTTGTCTAGTAATATTTTACCGATACTACCGATGTACTTTATTATTTTAAATTTCAAAATATCTTTAACCATGGGAGCTCTTGCTACTCTCACATTTTAAAAAATAATTATATTTTAAATCAATGAACTTAATATATCTACCTAGTTAATAATTTATTTAGCCTAAAAATCATAATAGACCGCAGTCTCAAGCTTATATTTAATTAAATATTTAACATTTTTTTAATTAATTTACCAGCGGGTTCCATTAGACCCTTATCCGTTTTTTTTTTCATATAGTATTAAAGATCTTTAATTTTGTATGTATTTATTCATTTTTTAACTTTTTCCAGCGATCACTAAGAGACATCTGAATAATTATTCATTAATTAAGTTAATAGTTATTATTTATTATTTAGATATCAGAATATAATCATTTTGTTTTTTGCTTCATAAATTGCATTTGCCTTGGGCGCCCTTAATTTTTTTTTTATATCGTAATAATAATGTTCTTTATTTTATATTATGCACTTTAATGGTTCTGCCTTTAATCCAAACTGACCTCTGAATTCTGATCAAATTTTATTTATGTTTTCGTTTGTATATTTAATCTTTTTTATTTGTTTTTAGTGTAGAATGCCGTTTCTGTTTCTACAACACCATAATTTATTTTAGTTGTTTTTTTTTTAACGTATTTATCCACAAGTGTCCCTGGACCCCTTTCCATTTTATTATATTTTACCTACTTAAGTTAATTTATTTTCATACTTTTTTAAGTTACCCCTAAGTTAACAGTTATTCATTTATTAAGCTTAAAAATCAGAATGGACTGCATTCTCTGGTGGTTATTACAAGATAATTTCATATTTAATGACATTTTTAAAATTTTTAAAATGCATTTTTCTTCTGAATCACTATTGACACAAAGATAACGGATTAATTAATTAAATTATTTGCTCAATACTTAATAATAAAATGTTAATGAAGTATATTATTATACACGTATAATATATGGATTAGTGTAATATACTAATTGTACAAGCTTGAAGCTATACAATTTATAATGGTTCATGGTTATAGATATTTCATATTTTCCAATAAACATAAAAATCATGGACAAATCTTAACCTCTATTGTAAATTCCACGGGATAAATCTAATCTCTAATCTAAGGTATACGTATAACTATAGTACATTGTGCATTAATACCAAATACTTAGATACCCATTACTTCCTTATGTCCACCAGGAAGTACCTATACGCACTTCTAAATTTTAACTTTAAAACAAATTTCTCACAACAATCCTGTCACTACCCCCACTACTGTACTGTCAGTACAACAATAATAAAATATAGTAACTATAGAAATTTGATATAATACAATGGAAGAAATGGCTCCAAGCAAAGGTATGGGCATTAACTAGTTAAAAAGTTAATTTTTTAATTTAACTAGTTAGTTTATTTTCTAATCAACTTATGAACTTAACTAGTTTAATTTACAGTTGAAATAACTTAGATTTTCTCAGTTGATTTTAAAAAAATCCATCAAGTTAAAAACATTTTGAAACTTTTCGTTTATACGTAAATATTACTATATCTGTAAAAAATAAAAAGAATCCAATACAAAAACACAAACATTTTAGTTCTTTTTCTTGATAACATAATGTTGTGTATATTAATATTATTCATTAAGTAGTAAATTATATATTATGAGAGTTGCAATTACAAATGTTTTTAATAAAATTAATAATTTTAAATTACAAATTGACAATTGTTATGTTTTAATGTTTATAACTTAAAATATATATGAAGGTCTTGTACTCTTCTTCACGTATTATGACATTCAATTGCTATACGATATAAAAAAATATATTTGTTAAATTCTTAATTTGGGATGAGTATAGTTTAAATTATTAAATAATAGTAAAGTAAAAGTAAAATGGTGTATAGTTGAATTATTAATGTACATTAATATGATAAAAGTTCAATAAAACTGTTTTTTATAATTTATAAATTAGAAACTAGAAAGACACATTCACTCTTTATGTGATTTACATACTAATTAAAAAATAAATAGATTAACTTTTTTTAAACTGAGTTAAGTTAATATTTTTTCTATATTACTTTTAACTTATCGAGTTAAATTTATAATTTGTTAACTATTAACTCTTAACTTATCGATCTTGTGTCCTCTTAACTTAACTTAACTTGAGTTAATTATTTTCATTAACTTGCCCAGCTTTGGCTCCAAGTCTGAATTTTCCTTGTCCCATTTCGAATCAACAAATAATGTTTTTTCTCAGTCCTGTAATTTTCTCTTTAAACAATATAATATTAGTTACATTTTTGTGGTGCTAATATGCTGAATATCATAATAACATTTATGAAAATATTACCTTAAGGTCAATAATGCATTTTCTAAATTCTTCCGAAAAACAGTTTTTGAGCTTTCTAAACATTCCATGTGAACATTCCAGGTTACTTCTATTAATTTAGGGCAAACTGTCAAGGCACTGTTGACTTGATTGGATATTTACGCCTCCTTGTAATATTTTCCAGAGTCTCCTCGTATGAATATAATACGCTTCAACATATAATTCAACGGATGGAATAAAAATAATATGAAAGAAAATAGGTAATCTAATTTAAAAACTTCAACTGTAGTGAAACTTTTCCGTCACTCTCTGACAAACTTTCTTATCAGACAAAAATGTATTATTGTGCCATTGAAACGTCAAAATGTGCCTATATATTTTGCTACATTAACCGTTAGTACATAGTTTATTTTGTTCAAGGTGGTCCTGTAGGAAGCATTTTTCACCTGTCCCAAGTACAACACACCATTAATAGTGTTCACGTGTAGGTAATGCATATTCTCATGACGGGCTCGTACTATTTTATAAGGATCGATTTATCGGTATACTATACATTTCCCAATTTCAGCATACCTATATTTGTATTTTATCGAAATATAGGAAGTCTACTAAAAAATTACACACTAGCTTGTTCTAGAATAATTTTCAAAATATTACAAAACTTCGTTTCACCTAACATAACCTGTAGTTATAATAATAATTAATAACAGCTATTGTTTCCATACTAGAGTATACTGCTGTGATTGTTATTTTTGCTATAAAGCCTTAAAAACACTGTATAGAGTTATTAATTGTTAGTTGTTCGACTGAATGACAAAAAAGCTATTGACAAAATTGCTCCCCATACATACAAATTTCAACTGATAAAAAATTGATTTTCAAGTTCGTATTTAGCGTTTATAATACCTTCGAGTATGTTTAACCGTAATTTGAAACTGGTCAAAAATTGTGTATTATTTAGTTTATTCGTGTAGGTACCTATATATAAGAGTAAATAGGACTGTATGGATCCAAATTTAAAAGATAGATTTGTATTTTGTGTTTAAAAAAAGAGCCATTGAAAACGATAGGCGTTTAATGTTATAAGTTTACAAATATATCCCATTTATTCGTACGGGAATAAACATAATAATTATTCATGACCACTAATTAACATACTTTCAACTAAGTCCATAATCATCAAACAGTATGGGTTGCTTCTGAGTGGAACCGACACGAGAAAAAAATAATATTCACTTCCAATTATTTCCCTCTCACTCTCTGCAAAAATACATAACAATTAAAAAAATAAAATAAGCATTTTTCCGATAATAATAATTGTGTCCAGTCACTTTGTCTGCCGTGCCATACAAAACCATATACATTATCGAAATTCGTTTAGGTATTATATTATCCGTTATTATCATTAGGTAGGTACAGTACTACAGTCAACGGGTCCGATACGAACAACAAAAAAAGGGCTATGCTTCTGTCATCATTGTCATTTGCGTACGAATGTCGTGGGACGGTGGCGGTGACGATGTTACATACTGCCCCCACGACGAAGTGCCCAGTGTTCGTGTGCGTGTCCGAAAACGTGTGAGGGGGTGGGTCGTAGGGGGTCGTTACGACGAGTGGGTGGATTATATATGTATGTATATATTGCACGATGGTGTGAGCGCCAGCGGTGCTGCTGCTCGACCATGTGGTGGGTAGGTGGGTAGTTGGGTAGGTGGGTCGGTGGGTAGGGGTATTTTCGGGAAGCAGGACAGGGCACGCGTTCCGAGGACGGGGCGTGCGCGAGGTGTTCGTCGCGTTTGATCACCGCGCGATGCGTGTTCGTCGCGCGGCGCCGAGTAAGAGCCACGGCAGTTTGTCGCCGCGCACCGCCAAACGCGTACGCCACGCCGCCGCTAGCCACTGACCGCGCCGGGGCCGCTCGCCGGAACAATCTACGCGCGAGAGACACGACTCAGACATCACGTGAACTCGTCGCAGTCATCGCACCTCGGTGCCGCCCTCGAGCCGTCACTGATCCTCTCCAATGATCCGGTGAACTTGATCATCGCCGTAGACCACTCCCGCACACCGCCTCATCCCTTAAAACCCGAACACGAAAATCCACCCCCGACGACGACAAGACGGGACGCACTCGAGCCACCACCATGAACCCGACCGCTGGCGTGCCCACCATACTAGAGGATGCCGCCCTGTACAGGTACGAGATGTGCCGAAACATGTCATCGGCCAACGTGCCGTTATGTGTCAACAGCACCGAATTCATCGACTACAACAACACCGACGACGAGATCCTACAGGTATGGTAACTCGCGCAGATTGCGGATATTCCTGAGAATTTCCTGGGCAACAACCGCGGGTGCAAACGATATACTCTCCCGTTTGTCTCCCATGGCATATAGCATATTCACTATTTCGGTATTTTTGTGGATTCCTATAATAATATATACTTGCGGAGCTATATAAACTCAGGTTGTAGGTGCCTCGTGGTGGTACTATACACATTGTATGAACGTATATGGCTGTATATGATACCTATACCTATATGAATAATATGTTATGTTATGTATTACTAATATATGTTCATATTTGAATGCTAATGCCATTGGTGCGTTGTGCACTGCCTTGTATTGGCCCATTATATGAGATCATCCAATTTAAAAAAAGCTCATCGATATTTACGTCGACTTAGATGTCATATAAATATCTAGACTCTACATGTTTATTTTTTCGTTACATGATCGTTGTATCGGAATATGCAAAGTAAATAATATACAGTCAACGACCGTTGCACGATAAAATAATATAGTGGTATAAAGACTGATGGGACGGTTATATTTTAAGCTCAACTATACAATAAACTATATTATAATAAGTATAGGTACCGTGTACCGTGAAAATGTAATAGTATCATTTTATAAATAATTTCCATAGTGATTTTGGATTTTAAATGTAATTCAAATATTCTCGGTTCTTAAAATTCTTCTTCTAAAGGGACTCATGTCATCAAATTAATATTGTCACATGGTTTTCTTGGTTGGCAAATGTACACCGTGGACAAGTAAATAATAGTATATTTTTATCTACAGTATTTAGGTATATTAGGTACCTAAATAACTTTTAACAATTTTTATTCGTGGACATTTTTCCAAGCCAAAACATAGCCCACGAGCTTCAATAATTTATGTCGCCTATTCGTATTTTACGCAGATTCCTTAATCCAGTGCAACATAAAAATCTGTGACAAAAACTGACACTGTCGTTCCCTCGTGAATACCAGTTGTATACCTAATACCTATGTATTATTATTATTATTACAGCAGTAATTTTATTGTAGTGAATTCTCTATCGTGGTGATGACATTCCCCTGATATATACAACAATTATTTAATATCGTGTGTAAATTACAGCAGAAGGTAACACGGAATAAACGAAAATATTACAACAGGTCGACTGACAACACGCGGTAGATTATTTCCAATATTACGTAACATAATTTTTCCACCAATCGCTCATACTATCAACATAATATTTCTGTTGTATTAAAACGTTTCGTTAATTTTGATTTAATTAATTATTTATTATTATTACTTTGATTGTGTATAATGTATAACAAATAAATAATAGGTAACTGGGAATATTTTTGATAGCACTACGACACGGCCGAGATGGTACTTATCGTTTTTAGCTCCCATTGGTTCTGCGGTGCAATATTGTCTTCGCGACGCGTATTAAAACTATAAATACTTCGAAAGGTTTTGAAATGAAAAAACGGATACCTATGCGTGTTATAGCCATTGAAACATTTGCCGCACATACATAGATACATAGATACATACATACATACATACATACATACATACATACATACATACATACATACATGTACATATATATATATATAGATAGGTACCAACTATATTATTATTATAATATTTCCACTCGAAATTGTCGTTATAAAGACATAGCCACATAGGCGATTACTTGAAAACTTTAAAGTGTAATCTCTATGAATACCGCGAATTCATTGGATTTATTAAAATATGTACGATAAACAGTGCTGTTCTTTTTATGGACACATTACTTTAAAATGCTCGTAAATGTTTAATAGTGAACAATATTATTTGCAAAGATTTTAATTTTAATTTTATTAATGCATACCAACGTAAAATGCCTATTTAAAGCCTCGTTGATAAATACCTATTAGTAACTCTTTATTGATAAATAAGAAGTTTTTGATAAACCTACGCCTACCTAAAATCGATGATCGATTTTCGTTGAACTACCCAATTTATTTAGTTATCTCAAAACTACTGTCTGCTACCCATAAAATAAATAAGTGTTGATTATATTTATAATAAATAATAATTTAATGTTCTAAAAAATCACCTGATAGTGTTCTATTTAAATTGGATTTACTTACATTTCATAAAATAACGAAGTAATATCACTATTTGTTACCTAATATTTAAATTATTTAAAATATTTAATGCTAATTAAGTACCTATTTAAAATTGGTTTATTCTGCATCCCTTTATTTGTGTAATACAAGTATTCAAATAAATCATATAATTTGTCAGATTTATTAATCTTAATGAAGATTACTAATAATTCTAAAATGTAACAAATGTATAGGCAACATGGTAACTGATAATAAATTGTTATATGATAAAATAAAATAATTATTTACTACAAAATAATCATGTTTGTTATATTGTAAATCTTAAAAATATGAATGAGTATAAAGTCAGAGATATGAAAACAAAAATGTAGCGTAGATTTAGAAATTGTGAATTAAAGATACATAATAAATAAAAACCGTTTAAAGATTTTGATGAATCATATTACACAAATTTCACTACTAGGTCAATATAAATTAATGAATTACTCGGTGAGTTGTGATAGGTATATGAGAATAATAAAATATTTATAATTATAATTTTATTATAAGTTCTGAAACGAGAGTAAACTTTACATGAGTTCAGAAGAAAATAATATTGATTATACCATTGATTATACTTAGCTATTTGCATATAGGACGTGAGAATAATAATTATTAAGTAATTTTTTTTATTACTATTTACAATAAGATGCCCCTAGCCCATTCTATTTACATCTCTGTATATGTACATATTATTGAGTTTTGACTACTATAACACTCTGTAAGTTATATTAGTGGTGTTGATACAATAAGAAGATAATAATAATAATTATGTATACATATATTTAATACCTATAAGTATTAACTAATTTTTGTTTTTTGGTTCATATTTCATTTATGAAGATGTTTAAAATAATAATTACAGTAACATAATATCTGGGAAATGGGATTTAATGTTTATTAATATTAATATCCGAACGGTTCTTAATTACAAAATTAAAACAAATTTTTACTTCTGATTAATCAAAATAATTATTTACAAAAACTGAAATTTGAATAAATAAAAATATGAAAATAAACGATATAATATGATAGTTTTGTATGTACAAAATAACTATTTAAACGATATATAAACTATAATAATATATAATTGGGATATAATATCTACTTTAATCAAATTTAAGATTAAAATATTATTTTACTTTTCAAGTGTATAAAATATTATGTTATATTTTCATCCACGTTGTACATTATTTTCACAAGATAAATATATAATTACAATAATGTAAATTTATGAAGAGATAATGACCAAGTTTTAAGAAGCAAAATAAAGATCAATTAAAAAAAAAGTTTCTTTCGTATATTTAATAATTCATTAGATCAAAAATGTATGAAGATGATAATGAAAAATATCATTAAATACGTGGTGTATGAATATATTTTATATTTATGTTTCCATAGTGAAATGGCATAGGGTCCATGTTCAAATAATTTAAAACGACATCGCCCGCCCATAACACTTGCACGGGCAATAATTGTATTCTACAAAGCTCAGTTCGATTATATAAAACGCTTCTTCGTTATATATTAGACTTAATAGAATAACTTGCTCATGCTAAGTGTTGCTAATGGGTGACTTCTTACCCCCGTATTATCCTGCTTGTTTACTCTCTTCAAATACGCTTATTGTGCTCTCAGTAAAGATTGTGTAATTCTTATAAAAATAAAAAAAATATAATAATAAAATGTATGCTATAAAATATATAGCAAAATATTAATACAACAAAAACATATTAAGACTAAGAACGAAACACATATTTTGTGAAAACAATGACAAAATAACAAACTATGTATGGTTAAATGATTAAGATACATCTTTATCAAATAATTGTATTGTCATGAAACCATTGTTGTATGATAATCTTATTGGCATTATATATTTTTTGTCCTATAATAAACAACTAGAAATTAGAAAGATTCGTCATGGTAAGGAAACAAAGAAATATGTTTGACAATAATTTAATATCAATTAGTATTTGTATCAAGTCTGTTTTTTCAAATAAAGATAAAAAATACTGTAAGTACTTAATACTTATACGATCACAATTTATTATGATAGAACTATGGCTTAAAGCTTATAATATATCGATTTTCGATATACTTTAATTCAGTCCATAAATCAATATTCCAAGTCAGTATATCCTTATACTTAAAAAAAAACTAACTAAAATAATTTGATATATTGAAAGACGAAATAAATGAAAACTAATTGATTAAATTGTTTTCAAAAATACTACACCAAGTTTAGAAGTCTACATCGTTTTGATTACTTTGTGAGTGTAATAAACATGACAGATTATACGTACGTAACATTATATAAACAACTATTTTTAGTATACATTTTTTCTTCTACTTTCTGAATATTATAAGCTATGTATAATACATGATAAATGTGTATTACATAAGTTTCAGTACTAAAATGGTTATTGTTTAGGTAAATATATATTATATATAATGCTTAGTGCACTTATTCACACTGTTATTAAAAAAAAATATAAAATGTCAATAATAATATATTTGTCTTATAGACTCATAAAATGTATCATCAATCTTCACCCCATTATTGTTTATGTTTATTTTTATTTTATAAGACTAAGTTTTATTAGTCTAAAATTTGATAGGTTAGATAACTTTGATACTAGGCTATTTTTTATATTTTTAATATGTTACTTTTAAAAATATTTCTTTTATAGCTTATATTTTAACAGTCATAACTCATTTTTCTAGTTTTTAGATATACTCACAGAGTCACACTGACCAGTGTTTGGATTAGATAAGTAATTTTTTATCTAGATAAAGATAAAAATAATGCAACTCAAATGTATCTAGATAGATATAAAAGATAACTTAACTCATATT